AAGGGCCGGGGCCTTAAAAAAAAGAGGGGCGGGGCCTCTCTCGAAGGGAGGAGAGGGCCGGGGCCGTGGGGAAGAAAGAGGGCTGGTTCCCCCTAAAGAGGGAGCTGGTCCAGGGAGGAGGGCGGTGCTGGAGGGGACTTTGAAAGGCTGGGTTTTTCCAGCACGTAAAGATGTGAAAGAAAAACAGGGGGGGGGGGGGCGTCCAGGCAGGGAATAAAAACAGCATCAAACACGACAGTGTTGAAACTGAGTCTGCGCGTCTGGAAGCCATGGCATCACCAGTCATCAGGCGTGCGGCGGTGGCTTCGTGCCCAGGACATTGGCCAAGATCAGCTAAGAGGGCAGCGGGTGGCGTGGAAGGTGCCATGCGAGGAATAGGGCCTCAGGCCTGAAATCACAGGGATCACCCGGTGGACTTGCAAGGCGCCTCCGGCTCCAGCTGCGGGGAGCGGCTCTAAGCCACGGCCACGGCTGCACGGAGGCCACGCCGGCCAGCGCTGCGAGGGACGGTGACGCCACAGCTGGGACTCTCCCGACAGGGTGGCTCCCCGCAGCCCTGCCCGAGGCCTCACCCCTGTCTGAGACGCCTCCACAGACCCTCCCCAGACCCTCCCCGCCCTCTCTCCCTCCTGAATGTCTTGCACATTTAGTCCAGTCTCAGCACCCGCTTCTCCGAGGCCCTGGCTCACTCAGACGTCGGAGGCTCTTCGCAGGGCGGGTATCAGTGGGTGTACGGGAGGACACCTCGGGAAGACAGGGTGGGGGTGGGGGGGGACACACTGAGAAATGTCTGTGCTTTAGAGCTAACTGGAAGCTGCAGGCGGTGTAAGCCAAAGACAGAAAGACACAGCAGAGGGACAGAAATAGCAGCGAATGCGGAGAACTTACTACGTCCCGGAATTATCTCGCTCAGCGCGAGCTACAGTCCTGCTCCTGTACAAGTGTGCCCATTTCACAGATGGAGAAACTGAGGCCTCCACAGGTACGATAATTTACACAAACCCCTAGAGCCGGTAAAGTGGTGCAACTTAAATGCAACTAGTCTGATTTCAGAGTCTGCACTCTCCTCCTCCGCCTCCACAGTTTTTTTTCAACGTGGTAAAATCCTTTTCACTACATTGTTAAGTTGTAGGTGTTACTGTATTTAACTAAAACTATGTTTCTAATATAATTATCATCAATAAGTATTAATTAGTTCCGTATATATATTCCAAGAAAGTGAGTTTAGAGGATTAACCCTATGTATGTGTTGTTTTATGATAAAAACGTGGATTTATAAATTAACAGGGAATGAATACGGAATAATAGCACTATTTCCTAAAATTAAATGCTAACGTAAACGGTGCACAGTCACACTCCCTTTCCCCTTCTAATTGGTGGCTCTTCAGTTTGAATGAACTGACCCCCCCCATCTGGAAATGCGCTTCCCTCCCCGATCCTCGGGCCCACCTCCCAGCTCAGCCCTCGCTTCCTCCCACGGTGACCCGACGCTAATAATTCTGCATCCTGTGCACCCTGAGTGTTTCACACTTAACGTTTCACAGCTGTCTTTAACACATCACTTTATTTATGAAAGAGAAGCGGGCTGGCTGGAAAGATACCAAATGAGCCAGGCTTTTAAGCGGACACATACTGCCTACAAGGACTGATTTCCTCACTGCTCACCTCTCCCTCCACAGACACTCCATGGAAGAGGGTCTGGACTGCAAAGTGTGGGCCAGTGAGGGCGAGAGGGGCCCGAGTTCTATCCATAAGCAATTTTAGAAAGAGAACGAAGACTCTGATGGTGACTGTGAGTACCAGGTTAGTCCTATTTCAAAATGCAGGAGCTATTAAACATCATTCCAATCAGCGTTTTTGCAAAACTCAGCCTCATATCTAATTTTTATTTTTTCAAAAATCACTAAGATGTCTTTAAATGCATCATTAGAATAGCAGTTAAGTTCAAAATGTTTAGCGGAAATAAGGCATTCGTGCTAAATAATTTTCATTACTGTAAAATCAGTTATGAATCAGTTAAAATGATCCATGCAAATTATCTCCTTTAAGGTAATCATACCCAACTAGCTATCTTTTTAAGGAAATATATTTATATTAAGACTGTTTTGAAATGATTAAAAACATAAATGAAAAGATACCTTTATTTTGCTTACAGAAAGGGAATATGGTATTCACCAGGAACTAATCAAATATATAGTAAGAAAGTAAATATACTATATAGCAGTGGTTCTCAACCTTCCTAATGCCGCGACCCTTTAATACAGTTCCTCATGTTGTGGTGACCCCCAACCATAAAGTTATTTTCATTGCTACTTCATAACTCTAATTTTGCTACTGTTATGACTCGTAATGTAAATATCTGATATGCAGGATGTATTTTCATTGTTACAAATTGAACATAATGAAAGCATAGTGATTGATCACAAAAACAATATGTAATTATATATGTGTTTTCCGATGGTCTTAGGCGACCCCTGTGAAAGGATCATTCGACCCCCAAAGTGGGTGCGACCCACAGGTTGAAAACTGCTGCTGTATAGTAAGACTTAGCTTTTTTTAAAAAAAAAAACATATTCACCAGTAGGGGTCACTATCACACCAAGTCACTGGGCTAGGAATTCAGCTATCACTGCCAGGAATTAGAGGACCTGGCTGAATTAATAATAAAACTCAAAATGCGAATGAAAATAATTACACAAACATGCTGCTGCACAAATTTTCAAAGGCAAATGTAGGTACTTCATAATTTTACACATTTAATACTCCCTATCACACCAATTTCCTAATCCCATAACGTATGTAAAGTCTTAAATAAACATGTTTATATTTGTACCTATATAAATTCATTATTTATGCAAGCCAAAAAGTAAACTAGTCCAATAATTCTGTGTCTTATCTGGAAGCTTTCTAAAATGTTCTTTATAAAAAAGCCACAAAAATGTCACAGCATCCTAAAATCAAAGTGATCTAGATTAGTGCCCGTCCTAAGAATGAGGAACTCCGCCGCTGAACGAGGCAGTCCGGCCTGAAGCCCACGTGTGGGAGGCAGAGATGTTGTTAAGATAATGTCCTATTTCCACGATCAAATGATATAATATCAATAATTTCTGGGAAAATGATTGGAAGGAAATGAATAACAGGTCCCGTGATAATCAGCATTTGCCAGGCCTTCCGGTCGCTGGAGGCTGGCGGACCACACTCTGCAGGAAAGCCCATGGCAAGCCAGTGCCAGCAGCTCGCACGGAGTGCACGGGGCGGTGGGAGCACACAGACAAAACAGGGCCAGGAGCACCACACCCTCCAGCACATCAACACTTTGCTCTTTCTGAGCAACAATTTAAAGGCGAATAAGAATTTAAACATCATAAAAAACATGAAAAACCAGTGAGCTCCAATGGACACCTGCTCTGTCTCCAGCCCCAGGGTCGGCACACGACTGTGACTCGGCAGCAGGCTCCCTTCTGCATTGAATCCCCTGCTGACTCGAAATCAGAACAGATTCGCGAAAACTTTGTCTAGAACTGTCAAATGTCCAGGG